GACCTTGAGATCATGACCTGAGCCGAAGGCAGAGCTTAACCCATTGAGCCACCCCAGTGCCCCTAACTTATTTTTTAAATTAAAAAATCAGCATGTCTAAAATGCTTTTGCTTTCTGGGGGCGCCTGGGTCCCCAGTATAAAGTATAAAGTATAAGTATAAAACAGGCAGATTATCCCTACTGGCAACCTCAATTAGATCAAATATCACTTGATATATCACTATATAGACCTAGGATAACCTAATTCTTTCTTGGAAAAGTTTCCCACCATATAAGTATGTTTCATTTAAAAATATCTAGGAACCATAGGATGTAGTTTAAAAGACTATGTGTTTTAAAGATTTTTTTGTTGTTCATGAGAGAATTCTAGACCTATAGAGACTATTTGTTTATTATTCAATTCAGTTTAGTTCCTTTATCATTCAGTGAGTATCTACTATATCATTCAGTGAATATCAGCTTATCAAGCAGGCTGACATCAACCTTCAGGGTAGGTCAGCTTTCAGAGCATTTTGTGTGGGCTTCCAAAAAGAATTCAAGTAGCAACTCAGATTAATCAATTCCCAGACTTCATTCCCATGTTAAAATAAAACTTCCCAGATCCCTTAAGTAGGAGATATAATTTTGTTTGTTCTAATTTTTTAAATTTTAATAACTCAGGGCACCTGAGTGGCACAGTCAATTGTGTCCGAATCTTAGTTTTCGCTTAGGTCATGATCTCGGGGTTCAAAGATCGTGCCCCGTATCGACCTCTACTCTGTGCAGAGTCTGCTTAAAATTTTTTCTCCCCTTTCTCTGCCCCTGCCCTCTGCTTGCTTTCTCTCTCTCATCTTAAATAACTTTCATTGCAGCAGACAGTTCATTAGCGTCCCCAAAACTTCTTACCATCTTACCACAGATTTGCTTCACCCATTTACATTAGTTACATAGTCTAACTCTTGCAAGAATTTGAGTTTTATACCTTGAAGAGTTTAATCACCCTATTTTATAATGAAGAAACTAATGCTCAGGGAAATTAAATGATTTGACAAGGTTACCCAGCTACTTAGTAGCACTGAGCCCAACTCAAAATCCAAGTACACTGACCCTCTGTACAAGACATTGTATTCATTTTACTACTTTTTCTTTCTCTTTGTCAGGACCTAACATTTGTCTGAAATAAGGAGCCTCTGTATTTTTTTTTTAAGTTTTAAAAACTGTATCATGGCATTTACAATTTTTATTCATATCTCAAGTTTCAAAATATCATTAACAGATTAAACAGTTTACTACATGCTGCTTTGGTGTCTGCACTACTCCCCCGCCTTTCCACTGCCTTTTAGTTATTTAGAGAGCTAGTAATGGGAGAAGGGAATTATAAAATTACAAAAGAGAAAAGGATGTTTTAGAGGGGTGAATAAAATCAGGGGGAGAGGGGTTTATCAGAGGGAATAGCTGTAGAGGAATAAAAAGGTGGAAGGAAAAGTGAAATAGTGCTTGTGAAAACAAAGATGGTAAGAATTGAAAAATAAAGAAAGCAAGGTATCAATCATTGTTCTGTACAGGGATGTGTTCATTCTGGAAGATTTTTCCTTAGGCTCATGTAGCCAGTGTCAAACAATATTGTGAGTTAGACAGAACTTGTCTTGAATTTCTTTGTATTTTCTTCCATTCAGTTTAAAAAAAAAAAAAAAACAACAAAACAGTGTTTTTTCTTTTTCTCTCTAGTCCATCCCAGGCTGAAAACTGGCTCTCATTTGACACCTCAGGTCTAAACCTTATTCTTTCCCAAAGTATTTACATTTGAAGTCCTATCTTTTAATTGGTATATATAAGAACCTCTCTGAAAGGGATTTTTTAAACATCAATGAGTAGAAAGGGGAATTATTTGAAGATAAAGGAACCCTTCCTAGAGTATCTCTAATTTCAAAACTGACTCTGCCTTTTTGTAAGGTACACTTTGTTCATACCCAGCCTAATTTCTTAACTTCTCAGCATACTCTTTTCCCCTTCTCAAAGCCCTAGGTTAAAGTTTTAGTGGACAAGAAAAGTATGAGAGAATGTGAGAATATGATGATGATCACCAAGCAAATACTTGCACAAAGCAAGTACATTCTTGCAAAGTTAACTAAGGGAAGCATTAAGACAGTGATTCTGTATAAATAATGTAAGTCCTGGCTTATATTTATCTATGTGATGCAAGAGAAAGTTACATTTCTCATCAATTACTACCAATTTAGAAGGGAAGTGGACCTCAACCAATTCAATGTTTACAATTTCATTTTGCCTCATAATTGAAAGAAGCATGAGTAAAATAATCAGAATTTCCATAAATTAGTAAACTGAGGTCATTAGAAAGTTGACTGCTATAATCAAGATCAATTTCATAGTATATGTAAATAAACCATTATGTTGTACTCGCTAAACTTATGCAGTAATATATGTCAACTGTTTCTAAATATAACTGAGGGGAAAAGATCATAAAGATTGGTAGAAAAATTAAAACTTACCCAAACTTCTAGATTCTGGAGCTAGACTTCCTGGTTTCAAATTAGAATTCTGTCAATTGCCTCAATCCACCTTTACACAATAGGAATAATAATTGGGGCACCTGGGTGGCTCAGTGGGTTAAAGCCTCTGCCTTTGGCTCAGGTCATGATCTCAGGGCCCTGGGATCAAGCCCCACATTGGTGTCTCTGCTTGGCAGAGAGCCTGCTTCCTCCTCTCTCTCTGCCTTCCTCTCTGCCTACTTGTAATCTCTGTCAAATAAATAAATAAAATCTTTAAAAAATAATAATAATAATACCTACCTCATAGGATTGCTACGAGGAACAAGTTAACATTTTAAAATGTTTAAAACTGGTCTTAGAACTCTCTCTGTAATGCTTACTAAATACAATAATGTAACTGTTACTTCTTTTCTATCTCTAAAGGCAACTAATTAGGTCTACAAAATGACTTCATAAACCTGATGTATAATTCAAATTAACGTTGAACTTATATATGTATGTCCAGGTAACTCATTGCCTTAAATGTGGTACAAATGAAAATGGTACTTTGTTGCATGGGTACAGGCTTCAGCATTTCAAATGTGCATTTTCTTTGAAAGGAAACTGAATAGCAGAGCGTGCATGAGGCACTGCTTCTCAATTATGCTGTGTTTATAAAATGATAGCATGGTTTTGCTTCAAAGTCTGTGACAATTTTTTTAACAGCTTTATTGAGATATAATTTATATACTATAAAATTCATCCTGTCACCAGTAAACAACATTAGCATTCACTGATTGGCTTTCATGTCTCAGGCAATAAACATAGATTATTCCATTTAATCTTCATAAAGAGCCTTTAAGGTAAGTATTAACATCCCTAATTTCATGATTAAACTAAAAGTTAAGTACTTCGCAGCTAGAGGTTGAGGTGAGGTTTTAACCCCTGTTCAGATGACTCCAATATTCTTCCCGTATCATGCTGCCTCTCCTTGGAAAAATACTTTGCTGTCTTTCAGAAGTTGGCTGGGAGGAGGGAAATGTGACCCTTTGATGATACTCATGGTTAGAGAAACTAATTTTTTTAACCTGTCATAAGAAAAACCAAATAATGTAAGAAAGAGCAGTAACTGGAAGCTTCTTTCAGACTCTCAAATCAAGGATGACATGATAGTGCAAAATAGTTTTATTATGAGGAAAATAAGCAACTACGATGCTGATACACATCATAATGCCAGTATGCACTAACTTGGAAGGACTCAACACTTCTTACTAGCATAATTGCATTCTTCTTTATTGAATTCCCACCAGATTCCAAATTCCCACATTAAAAATAGGGAAACAGCAGATACTGCATGAATTCTTATCTATCTTTTAGACTTTTCACATAATTTTTATTATCCTTAAGTCAAATTTCTGGACCTCCTCATGCTTGGAAATATTCAAGAAGTTTTTCCCCAGTTCATTTGAAACAAATATTTAGGTGGTGCTTATATGTTAGGGAGCACAATGCTAGCCACCAGCTGTACAGAGGTTATAAAGAAGAAGAAAAAACAAAGATGAAACCAGGGCAACCCCGTTAATACATGCCAGGTTTCCAAAAGGAGAGGTAGTCAGTGTGCTCTAGCGGACAGACAGCACCCGGGGTTTGGAACTTGGGTTTTTTATAAACTTACCTCTCCACCTACTGTGTGACCTTAGCATTTGATTTTTGAGACTGGATTTCCCCGTTTGTAACATAATTAGCTACAATAAAAGCTGGTATTACTAAATAATGGCCGGTAAACACACATGGGAAGATGTGGTTAAGAAAATGTTACTTTATAACATCGAGGATAAAGGTTTTCGGGCACGTTTCCTTCCCTTTTAGTACCTGGCATTATTTGATACATATTTCACTCCGTGTTCACCGAGGAACTGGGACATGTTTTTCACTGCAGTTTAGCGTCTGGGTGTGCCTGGGGAGGCGTCACAAAGAGCCTATAAAAGGTTTCCACCTACAGCAGGAGTAGGAGGGCAGGAAGGAGCCCAAGACGGGCACTGAGACCAAGCGTTCGGTTTCGGATTGTTCTTTGTTGGGGCCAAAATTCACCAAGCTTAGGTTCCCCGACTAGCGACGGAAGGACTAATGCCTCAGAGCTGTTAAAATTTTCTGCCATATCTTAGCCGTCCCCACGCCCCCCGCCCCACCCCACCCTCAAGCGTGAGTGAATGCGCAAATAAGGGCTCTCAGGCGCCTGTGAGAAAGAAGGAGGGGAAGGCAGAAGTCGAGGATGGACGGGGCGGTGGCACCGCTGCTGAGAGAGGACAGAGGGCCCTCACAGAGAAGAGTTAAAACCCGGCTGTCCCGAGCCAGAGGAGGCCAAGGCGAGATGCTGGACAGGCGGGGGCCGATTGGGGGCAGCAGACCACGGCAGCGTACTCAGTCCACCCCCGGGACCAACTCTTGTCCCGAGGCGCTCCCCCAACACCCCCCACCGTCTCTTTTGGTTTCGACCTGCCGACTGGGAGGGGCCGCGGGACGCCATTCCCACAATGCTCTGGGGCGTGCCGCCGCCGTCGCTGCCGCCTCCGCTACCGCTAGTGGAAGAAGATGGCGGAAGGCGGAGCGGCAGATCTGGACATCCAGCGGTCTGACATCGCGACGCTGCTCAAAACCTCGCTCCGGAAAGGGGACACCTGGTGAGAGAAAGAGATTGAGATGGTCGCGGTTGCGGGAGGATGGTGGGGAACTGGGCGGGAACTGCGGGCTGGTGTCTTTAGCTAGTGACAGGTGCGGGCAGGTCCGGCGGCGGCCGCACTGGGCAGCAGGATTTTGGCTGCTCCCGAAATGTTGGGGAGAAGATTGGACCCGAGATGAAGTCCAGGGTTCGTGGCTTGTCGGGGCGTGCTGAGAGACTTAAGGGGAGCGGCGACGGGGACTCACACAGTTCTTTCCGTCCTCCTTCCTTCCTTAGTGCCGCTCCCACCTCAGGCCTTCCCGAATGATAGGTTATAGTCGTTCGGCGTGAGTCTCTCAATTTTTGACAGGTCGAGGTCCCGCGGCTTATCAAGATCTCACCCTCTTTCCTTCTCTGGTCATTTCCTTTCCCGGCATTGTCGGCATTCAAGTTCCTTGCTGTTCTGATTCTTGTATTCTTCCGGGAGGCAGGCTGCAGGATGTTTGCGGTTCTTACTACACAGGTGGCATGTGTCAGGGCGCCACTTAAGAGAAAGAAACCCTAGTTTCCAGTTCCTTGTCAAAAGGAGGGAGAGGAGTACGGAACCTTAGGCTAATGAGAAGTACCACGTGGTCTTGTGCTTTAGTGGAGGCTTGATAGAAACCGGCAGCGTTTCTCTTAGAAGCGCAGCCCTTCCCTCCTGTTTGAGGGATAACGTAGGCCTGCAAAAAGTAGATAAGTCTGCTTGAGGCTTAAGTCACTTGCTAATACTCAGACTTATAAAATACCAAAGGATATACTTAAAATACTGAAGGAAGTATGTGTAGATTTTAATACTTGTCGGCCATAGTAAGTGGTATTCAGAATAACTTAAATATGTGAGTATGTAACATAAAGAGCAAGTGCTCTGTTTATTAGGAAGGGTAGTGTGCTTCTTTACTGTAATAATTATTTTCATGTCCCGTTGTCACCATAACAGTGGTGTATAATTTACGGAGTTTTTTTTCCACGTACTCCTCTATGACTTAATGGAAGCAACATAAGATTTAGATGTAGTTAGGTCACCGTTTCACCACTTAACCTGCTATACGACTTAGAGGAGAGTTAATTTAAATCATTGTATCTCAATGTCTTCATCTGTGAAATGGACAATAATTTCATTGTCGGGGTTTTATCTTGATTCAGTGACATATTCCAAAATAATACTTTTATGAGATAACATTAAATTTTACTTTCTTGTCACCTTCGTTTACTTCTGATAAAATGCTGTAGTACTAGGAGATTTTCAAGTAAGCTAGTAGATGGCAGTCTTGGGACTTGAACTTAAGTATTTTGATCTAAGTCTTGGTACTTTTTTCATACTTTGTTAGGCTACATAGATTCTGTGTTTATATGATAAAAATCCCTAAGGGTGTAAGCATGCACTTGTTGCATTACAACAAAAAATATCTTAATCATCTTTAGATGATTTAATAATCATTATTGTTCAGGTAAGTGTGAGATGTTTATTCATGTGCAGAAATTGGTTATTTCCTAGGACACATGTTTACCTTGGTCTGTGGATTATTAAAGATAAATCTTTGCTTCCTTTTATTTGTTAAAGAACACTTAAATTTTCTTAATTCACCTAGCCTATTACCACCTCATAAAAAGATAAATGTGGATTTCCATAAAATAGAAATCTGTAAGTTTAAATATGGCTATTATTCAGATGGATATTACTTTTTTTTAATGTATGTTTTTGGTATTCTGGGTAATAATTGGTGTTGACACTATGGGATGATATGAACAGCGTGTGTATTGTGAGCATTAAACTTGAAGTTTGACATTTTTCAAATAAAAGTATTTTTGCTTTTTCACAGTTACTGTAAATCGTTTTAAACATCTGTTGTAAAGAATACAGGAAGTCCATAAATTTGATTTTCATTTTAAAATGAAAGTCAGTGCTTTCATATTAAAGAAAAGGAAACTGAAGCCCACATATTTAGAGAACAGCAGAATGTGGACTTTTTTTTTTTTTTCTTTTAAGATTTATTTATTTGAGAAGGGGTGGAGGGGGCAGTGGGGGAGAGAGAGAGAGAGAGAATCTTTTTTTAATCTTTTTAAAGCAGGCTCCATCTCAGGACCCTGAGAGACCCTAAGATCACAACCTGAGCTGAAATCAAGAGTCAGATGCTTAGCTAACTGTACCATCCAGGTGCCCCAGAATGTGAAAATTTTTGTCCTTGATTGATTACCTCTATTAGTTAAAGGGGAAGAATGCCGGGATAGGATGGTACTGAGGATTTGCAAAAACCAGTTTGGTTTATATGTAAGCCAGTTAATTTGCAATTAGGTGAAATCTGTCAAAAAAAGAAAATAGTTTAGAGCAAAAGTTTGATTCAGAGTTTAAGGAGAATAATTTGATAAGTACACATTTCATTATGTACGCATGATTAGAGAACTGGTGAAGATTTAATAATTTAGTTGTTACTTGGGCTCATGTTGGGGACTCATTAAAACTTGTTTTTAACTTGTTAAAAAGTTTCTCTTTTTAATGTCTTTTTAAAAGATGATTGGATTAGTCATTTATGGTTATTTGGGCAAATTCAGTCTGCTGTTTTGTAGCTAAAATGGGCCATATGCAGATGGAACATTATCTTGGTATGTGTGTCTAACCATCTTGAAAAAGACTGATGACTGTTGAGAAAAAATGGAAGGTTTACTCTAAGTTTATTCTTGAAAACTTTATACTAATTTTTGTTGTTATGGTGCCTTAAATGAATAAAGTGCCTTAAAGTGTTTTAAAATGAATAAACTAATGAAAATGAAACTTAATTTCATTAAGTAGTTTGTAAGCAGTTTTTGGATAGGATTGTTTCATATTATCCTGGTAGATAACTAACACTTACACAAGGTTTGATTCTGCTTGAAAACTAGAGTTTCTGTTTATTTGTAAATAGTGAATGATTTTTATCTGCAGACTGAGTTTCTAGAGATGAAAATAAGGACACAAGTCTTAAGATGAGGAAGAACGAACTTTATTTAGAAGTTATTAATTAAAGTTATTAATATATTTACTAACAAACTTAATACTAGACTTTATGGTGACAAGTCCAGATTGATGCTTAAAAAGGTGAGGTATGAAAGTGACACTGATCTGCATTAGAAGGAGTAAAGTAGTCTCATAATGCTGTTTCCTAATCTTTATTTTAGCTCAGAGGAGGTAATTAGAAAACCACGAACAAGACTGTTTGAATTTAGTTACTATAGAAATAAAGATAAAGGAACTAGAACTTGTTTAACTTAGATTGAATGAAAGATAACTTAATCTTCAGGTACTTGGTGATTTTTCTTCATGAGACAAAAGGAAAATTTTTTAAAGAACATTACATGTTAAGTATATTAGGGATAGAGGAACCTATTTATGGAGGATGGGTAATTAAATAAATGAGTTACAAAGACAAGTTATGGGTTATGGAATACTCTTTGGATATATAAGTAAACAGATAATTACAGATCATCAAAATCACTGCTTTATTTCCCCATTTTTATTAAAAGTTTCTCTTCTACCAGTCATTTTCACTAACTTTTATGTGTGGTGTTTTAAATTTTTATGTATGTTCAATGGTAATGCATAGCTAACTTTACAAAGTAAATTGTGTGTGTCATTTTTGCATAAACCCTAATAACTCTAGTAGATTTAAGGTACTTCAGAGAGTAACTTTAATTTGTATTTAGAGTAATTTCAAATGTATATGATATTTTTGTTTCAATAAATAGGCAAGGAATAGTCCATCAGATCTTTGAGATTTTTCATATTAGAAGACATTGATTCCGTTTTAGGGCTTCCCTTCGATTCCTGCTCTTTTACTTAGAAATCTTTGAGGCTTTATTTTATATGGTCTCTTTTTGTGCAACCTTAATTAATACTAAAAGAAAATAACCTTGTAATGACAAATCAGTTCATAATGTAAAGGGACACTATTAATATAAACTCCACAAATATTTTAGTATATATTTGTTAAAGAATTTTTACATTATTATTACTGTAAATACTAATTTTAGTTGTGCCAAAGTGTTAATTATTAAATTAGGGTATGTGTCATATCATTTGCAGGAAATGAGACCAAAAAGCAAAATGGGGTTTTTTTGTGTTGATAAATCAGTGAAAATAAGGACAGAAATAGTGACATTATTATAACATATTTTTCACATTTTAGTTGCTTAAAATCTAGAAAGGCAATTTTTCCTAATTTAAGCTTTATAAGTTTTTAAATCACTTCTAAGTTGTTAGTGAATCTAAAATTGTGTACCTTACTTGCTAGGAGGATCCAGAGCTTTTTAGTCTGTGATTTCATTTATCTGTTGAGTGACATTTAGGCTTTATTATTTTTTTCTAAATGATACCATTTTCCCATTAACATACTTGAGTTATTAAATATTCTTTTTGCAGAATAGTTTTGTGACAAATACTAATTTTGCTCACACATATGTATACTAAGAAAAACTTAGTTTTTCAGGCCATGATGTGTAGTATTATATTTGAAAACACCATGTGCTAGGTACTGTTTTAAGTACTTATTATGTTAACTTAATTACTTATCACTATAATTCTAGGACACTAGAATGTGAATGTCATATAATTCACATTGGAGAGAATAGGAAGCCTAGGCTGAAGTGTTCACACAGTAATCTGGGATTTGAACACAAGTAGTCTAGGGCTTTAATTCAGGCCCCAAAATCACTTATTTTGAAGATGCATTTTTATTTTATTTTACTTTATTTTAAAGATTTTATTTATTTGACAGAGAAAGATCACAAGTAGGCAGAGAGAGAGAGAGAGAGAAGCAGGCTCCCCGCTGAGCAAAGAGCCTGCTGCAGGGCTCGATCCGAGGACTCTGAGATCATGACCCGAGCCGAAGGCAGCAGCTTAACCCACTGAGCCACCTAGGCACCCCGAAGATGCATTTTTAAATGTTAGTTTCACTTCAAAAGGAAAAAAAATGGACATTTTTTCTTTTTAAATGGAATCTATTTTAG